CCCCCATCACCACCACCACCTATGTTTCCTTTGTTGATTTGAGTGGCTTTGTAGTGATCCTTCAGAAGCTCCGTTCTGGTCTGGAGGAGCAGCCCAACTGTAATAAGATGCTGCTGGTTGTTGTCTCGTGTGCGTGGAATGAGAAGTAGGCTCATCTGACTACAAGAGGAGAAGATCCTCGCCCCATGGAATTGTGGGTCGCCTTTTAAAACTCTGGACATGGTGTGACTCCGTTGTTCAGTCATGGAGATGTCTTTTTGGTTTTTGAAAGTCGTTTTTTCTTCAGAAATCTTTAAGATATCAAGGACAAATACACAGTTTTGTTTTTGTCTAGATCACAGTGATAACCGTGATGACCACATGACCGCTGCTGCTGACCTTTTTGAACCCCGACCTCGGCAGAGATGCAGGGTTTTTTTAAATGTATTTACTTGAATCTCAGCTGTATTGGATCCTGGACAGACTGTCCTCCACAGATGACACGGACGCTTTGTTTTGCAGCGACTCTCTCTCAGTCCACCGTTCCACATATTCTTTAACACAATTGAAGGCTCAGAGCGGCCGCAGGTGTGAACACATTTACACATCAAACAGTCGAATCAGCGCCTCTGAACCCACACACTCCTGCCTTTAAAATGAGAAGACCAATTTTAAAACACATTCAGAAGATTCGTTTGGATGCAGTAGTATAATTTCTGTCACAAAATATAAAATAAAGGGGAATTCATACAACATTAGTCTTCAGTTGAACTGCACTTATATATAACTACACTTATACATTTATATACTTATATATTTATATATTTATACCCAACACAGTTTAATAAAATGTAATTATTGCTGTTAGCTTTCCAGTTTTCAGCAAAGCCAGCACCTTTATGTGACATATTTTTACCAGCTAATGGAAGTGAACCACAGGTCACAGCAGCCAATCATCACCTTCTGTTTTCCGTACTGTGAATTTACAGACGTTCTCCTGGTAGTTACAGCATGGTTCACACTTTAAAGCAGGGTTTTTGTTGATCACATTAGTTTTGTGTTTGATGTTGAGGCTCAAGGCAGAGAACAGTGCAACATAAATGTGTCCACTGCAGCACAGCTGGAGCAGAGCTGTCACACTGTGATGGATTTATCATCGTTCTGACATAAACGACTTGGAGATCATTCAGACGCAGCTTTGAAAACCTGCCGTGTGTGTGTGTGTGTAACTGACAGTTTATCTAGTTTATTTTTCTGGATGACGTTGTTGTTTTCACAGTTTGTCAGTTTTATTTGAAAGACTCGGCTCCAGTTGTAAATATTTTTTCTTTTACTTTAAAACATGTAAATTACACAGAATATGAGTTACTTTTCTGTTAGTTTTCTAACTTCAGACAATGTTCAGCCATTTTTCTATCCAACTTTGGACATTTACTTTATATATTTGTGCTTGTCTGGCTGAATTTAAATATATATATACTGTTGTTTTAATACGTTATTTTGGACTTAAAGGTAAAGTAAGTAACTTAGTATTGTTATTATTATTATTTTATTTGTATTTTTTTCACCATACGACACTTTTCTGGTCATTTCTTTAGAATGGACTCCCTGTAAATCGTGTCTACACGGACACGTTCCAGTCAACATGTGAGCCGCGCTCCTCTAAAAACCCCCGTGTATTAAAACGCCCTCGGTCCTGACACACACTGGGAATTACCACATAATCACATCAAGTGTTTCCTCCTCTGCTTTTACTACTCAGCAAACAATTACACGAATTAGCGGAAACACTTTGCATAACACACATCTGTGTGCTTTAATCAGCCTAATGTCGATCACATCACATGGACTGATTGGCTCTGTGATTGGTGCTGAGCAGCACGCAGCAGAAAAGCTTTTTGTCTGGAAAACCCTGCGTGTTGTTTGAGTTGTTCAGTTAAATCAACCTAATAACATCTGAGTGCAACAGTTCCTTCACTGGAGCAACTAACTTAATCAACTCGTCAACCCAGAGACTGACAGACCAAGGAAATGTCATCATATTTGGCCGCGACCGTGGAGGACGATCATGTCGGAAAACAACAACCAAAAAAACCCAAACATAAATATAAACAAAAACAACGTCACGGTTGGTGACACCAACACCATCCACTACAGAACTGTTATATTCAGTCTCAAACTTTATTCCTCCTTCAAACAAATGTATAATTTAATAACCCAGGCCTGCCACCAGGGCAGGTGTCCAACTTTGTTATGATTCAAACTGTGGCCACGATCCAATCAGGAATCAGGAGCCCGTGAATCATGGACAACAAACAGGAGGCAGGAGGTTAATTCCTTTTAAGTGCCTTTAAAAAATACTTCCAAGGTCACGTTAAAGCGGGGCAGAAGATTCTCAAACAATGATATACACAGTTTATACAAGTGTCAACAGACAGGAATGTAGTTTAGAATACTGAGAGCAGAGCTCACCGTGAGCAGCCACAAATGCAGGCCAGGAAGTTTTGGTCTGATGGCGTTAAACGACGTCAGAGACTCCAAGCCTGAAGTCAATTCCTTCTGTAGTGGAGAATAATAAAATGACACTTTTACAGTAACTGTCAGAGTTGGACCTGGGGCAGACATTCCAGTCTGGAGGTGGAATTCAGTTTTAGCAGCTGGTTTAAAGAAAACACAACATTTATAATAAATGGGAAAGACTAAAATTATATCATGCAGCACTTTGTCCTGTCAACTGTCCTCCTTTAAATCAAACTTATTGTTGGGTCTATTCAGTAAAACAGATTTTCTTCCATCCATGATTCTTCGACAGTTGACGCATCAACTCCCTGTTGTTTGTTTGTATCTTTTTAAAAACTTTCTTATATAATTCCATTGATAATTAGGGACATAATTAGGTTCACCTCAGAGCCCAAAATATCTGTGCCCATGCCGTACATATTTGGAAGTTCGACCGACACCTCTTCACCACAGGGAGTGTGTAATACCTTCACCCTCCACTAGATCCAGTGGTGCAAACTGGTACAGCCTGTTGTGAGTCTTTTTGGCGTTTGATATTTTCCTCAGGCTCTGAAGAAAATCTTTATCACTGAACATTTAGTACCGGAATGAAGAGTTGACAAACCACATGTCAGTCAGTCAGTCAGTCAGACAGTCAGACAGACAGACAGTCAGACAGTCAGACAGACAGTCAGACAGACAGACAGTCAGACAGTCAGACAGTCAGTCAGACAGTCAGACAGACAGTCAGACAGACAGTCAGACAGACAGTCAGTCAGACAGACAGTCAGTCAGACAGTCAGACAGACAGTCAGTCAGTCAGACAGTCAGTCAGACAGACAGTCAGTCAGACAGTCAGTCAGTCAGTCAGATCAACACTGAACCTGCAGTGATTGAAAAGCTGCGATCAAACTCTTGACTTGACTTATTATCTCCCGAAGGCGAATCAGAAACCAGGATTAGGTCTGAACCTGTTCAGCTCCACGA